TATATATATATATATATATATATATATATATTCAAAGGCCAATGGCTAATATATTAACATAGAAAAGATAGATATGTTGTATGAGTGGGCCCAAGAACGGCATCCTACCCACACGGTACAATGCACACCAAAAATCCAAAAAAAAAGAGAAAAAATACAACAACAACAACAACAACAAAGCCTTAATCCCACTATGTGAGAAAAGATACATGTAAGACCAAAAATAAAAACCACCAAAACACATAAACAAATAGTTAGAGATGACCCAATTAGTCCTGCCTCTGTCTTTAGTTCTAGGAAGTGAGATAATCCATTAAATTCCTAAGCTCAAGTAGGTCTTCATTCTTCTTCTTCCTCCTGGATGTGTAAAATTGTCATTCCTCATCTGAAGACTGTTTGTCTGATCAGTGTGTTGGTCAACAGATTGTCGGGCATGAAAAAACTGATGAGCCTCTCGCGCCTGACTAACAATAACGACATTCTCGTTCTGATGAGGTGGTAGAACCGCAGTAGAAAGATTTTCAACTATTGTAACAATAATAGGTTCTAGTGAATGTGAAGTATGAATTCTCATCTGCACCGGATACTTCCTGAAGATGAGGAGCTGCAAGACTCTCCTAATTATGAGTCTGAACATTGTCATTTGCATGTAAGGAGCTGCAAGACTGTTTGTCTCTTCAGTATTATTTTCAATAAGGTTTAAAGTTGTAGATTGTCCAGTAGAGCCATCCAACAACACATCAATAGCAGAAACAAAAATATTATTGTCAGGTGGGGTCCCCAAAGGCAATTAAATTAGACACTAACTCCTATCTTGTGGTAATTTCCTTCACATGTGGAGCAGATGTGTCCTGAGCAATGGGATTAGACACATCCTTATGCATTTGAGCTTTAGATTTCAAGTTAGAGTGGAGCCTGTGCCATTTGTCAATGGTATGCCTAAACATTTTACAGTGAGTACAATAAAATGGTCTATGTTCCATGACAATTTGTTGCTTATATCCATTATGTGTTGTGCCCAGCCAGACTTCTATAATGTCAGGTAAAGTGACATCCCTTTTTACAAGTATTCTAGTAACAGAAGACCTAGTTAGATTGAAGATGAGTAGATCTAGCTTCATAGGATCCCCAAGTATGACCCCAATAGAGTAGAAAAACTGATGATTAAATAGATGCATCTTGAGACCGGGTAAACTAAACCATACTGGTACGGTGGATGTTCATGGTTTGGGTCAAAATCAGGAGACCACTAGAGTAACTTCATTGACTTTCTATTTTTCAGAGAAAATTCGAGCATAGTCTTCAGACATGGTTAACTGAACCAACACATGTCTCTCATCAAAAAGTCTCAGTTTCCACTTGTGTACTAGTTTGAGATCATCAAAACTCTTTCTGATAACTATTATGTATATATATATATATATATATAGTAGTTTGAGAAAATCAAAATTTGTTATTTCAAGGATCATTCTTCTCTAATTCAAATTTCTACATCAAAACAATTTAACCTCTTCAACTTTGGGTTATTCAATCTCGAGCAATTAGAGGAGTAGTTTTATCATTCATAAGATAAGAACTAAAAAAAGGATTAATCTTGATGTCAAGTTCTTGATAAACCATTTGAAGATCACCCTTACATGATGTTTTACCGGCTTCCTTTAATTTGAACAACTTTGTTTTGCTTGATTTCTCCTTGATTTCAATCTTTACTAAAACATAAATGAATTAAAGTTCTAGAACGAAGAAGAAAGGGAGAGAGAAAGTAAAATAGCCAGAAAATTCTATTTGTAGAGTAAACTGCAAAAGAAAGAGGAAAGAGAATATCTTCAACTACAAGATTTGAGAAGGCAAAGTAGCAGAGAAGCAGGATGTTGCAGGAGTTCAGGTAGAACTGAAAAATGGGGTGCTCGGCCTATCCTCTCGGGTAGAAGCGGAGGAGGATGGGTCGTAGATCGCGACTATGAGATTGCTGACTAGAATTTGGCTTGGCGGCTGAAGCAAGTAGCCCTAAGCCTCTAAATTACTTCAGTTTTCCTTGCAGTGGTGGGAGAACTCACGATCTCCTCAAAGATGCATAGATCAAAGAAGATGGAAACTGAAAGTCTAATGTCGATTTTCCAATATGTGCATCCAAAAACTCTTCAAAAGCGTCCAAATTCGTCGAATCCTCTAGAAATAGAGCCTGCACCGACACTGGCGTCGTTGGCGCCCATTTTGGCGTCGTCGGGGCCAGTAGCCATTTAATTAATATGCGCTCTCCATCAAATGGCGCCGTTGGCGCCCAGTAAAGAGAGTAGCATCGGCTAACAAGTTTGAAAGGCTCATTAATCATGCTAACAAGTTCGAAAGTACCACTTGTTTCCAAAGCCACCACATGTGACTTCAGTAAATAAGGAAATGCTTCAAAAAAAGAAGTGTCGAAAATTTAATAAAACAAAAATAAAATTCAACTTATCTAATTTAATAAGACAAGCAATGATGATCATTATTGACGAGTATCAGTAAGTACAAGCTAAAATTCAACTCATCACAATTACTTTGATGTTTTCCTTAATTCTTGAACAAATTGCAATTAAATACTCATATCCAAATAAACAAGTCAATATATTTTACATAACTAAATGTCAGATTTAAAAATCAGCTTTTCAGTTGATTTTTAACAAATGTAGGCCTAATATGAAATTATAATAGAGAAACAAATAAATAGAAAAAATAACTAAACGTTATATTTAAGAAAAAAAGAACATCATTGTAATTGTGATAACAGATTAGCTTAAATCCATAACCACGGTCAACCTCAAAAAAGATAATGTAATAACAGATATTGGCAATCTTTGAAAGTACAAAATATAAAGTAAAATAAGCATTTTTATTTACCATTTAGGCAAACTTATTTGAGAGAGATAGTTACTTCTCTAAAATCAGTATAAAAACAAATAAGATAGGTTATTGTCTTTCAAAAATAGGCTTAACAAGCAATAAACCTTGGAGAAAAAGGATCCGCATAGTTCCGGTGCTCGATACCATCTAGTCGCAACATAATCCTGGATCAAAACCATAAAAAAAATGTTTAGAAGAGCCAATGAATGGCCATTTCGACTTTTTTAATGAAATTTTGTAAACTCATAGCATCATAAAACCATACCGTCCAAAATATTGCAGTGGGGGTGTCATTGAATGCCACCCTTGCAAGACCAAAGTCACAAATCTTGAGCTTGCAGTCAGCATTTGCTAGAATATTTTTAGGTTTGAGATCCCTATGAAACACATTGGCTAAAAGTCCACGGAGAGGTTATGTCAAAAGATATGAATGGAAGTATTAGGATTTATGAAATAAGTAGGAGATGGAAACTGTAACAGACAATGTGATTAATCATATAATTGAAGTAAAGCATTATGGTAAAGTGACACTTCAATGCAAGGAAGTGGCTACTCCTACCTATAAAAGCAAATCAGATAATAAGGCCAAGTAAATGTGTTTGAATTAAAATATTATGGAAATTTATATACACGCCACACAATTTTTATGCATTTACATATCTAACACCTAAATTTTCACATTTATAACACCATGGTATTAAAACTCTATGCATGAAAAGGTGTATTCACTTTTAAAGGGTTATTTATAGTGATATTTATAATGTGATGTCAAACATTTGAGTATTATGTATGTAAATATAAAAGTTTAGGGGGTATATATGTAAATATATAAGAATTGTAAAGTATGTATGTAAATGCCCCAAATATTGATTAGTTGATTGAAATCTAGTAACAAAATTTTTAATCAAGTAAACCAAATTTTACCGTCTTATGCAATTAGTTTATCTGATTTTTCAAACCTACTAATGTTTTAATGCTAAAAAACAAATACCATTTTAATATACATACCACACAACTTTTATGCATTTACATATCTAACACCTAAAGTTTCACATTTATAACACCATGGTATTAAAATCTATGCATGAAAAGGTGTATTTCACTTTTAAAGATTTATGGTGATATTTATAATGTGATGTCAAACATTTGAGTATTACGTATGTAAATATAAAAGTTTAGATATATGTAAATATATAAGAATTGTAAAGTATGTATGTAAATGCCCCAAATATTGATTAATTGATTGAAATCTAGTAACAAAAGTTTTAATCAAGTAAACCAAATTTTACTGTCTTATGCAATTAGTTTATCTGATTTTTCAAACCTACTAATGTTTTAATGCAAAAAAACAAATACCATTTTTGTACTGTGAAGCAAAATAGTCCTGACTAGAAGAGGAATTTAACTTGGAACCAACAAAACATGTGGACAAACAAACGGTATAAGCAAAATTTAACAACGTGGATGATGCCATAGAGGTGCTTGGAATCCCATTAAAAGTGTGTAAAAGGAACATTTTATGAAATGCCAAAATGACTAGCCATGTTACAATGTGCACGTTTGGAGACAAAAATGGCATAAAGAAGCAATTTCAACAGTGCAGATATAACAACACACAAAAAAGAACTTTGTGATAAAGTTGAAAATTCATGAGTTAGAATTTAAAAATCAGAGCGTAAAATTCATATTTACAAAAAGTGATTACATTACACAATGAGCTGAAAAGGTTATTCATTATGGAGGGAAAGTAAAAAGTAATAAATATGACTCGGATGAGCGCTTACAACCTGTGTGTATATATTTCAGGCCACGAAGAAGTTGATAAAGAAAAAATTGGTAGTGTTCTGGTGTCAAATCATCATTAGCCTTAATAACCTGGTGTAAATCTGATTCCATGAGTTCAAAAACAACATATATGTCCTTGAACTCTCTTCTAGATGGAGGTAATAATATATGCTTGATTTCCACGATATCGGGATGACGCAAGAGCCTCAGAAGCTTTATCTCACGAAGAATTCGTGTGGAATCTGACACGTGCTCAAAGATATCGTTTATCTTCTTAATTGCAACCTTTTCTCCTGTATGAGTGTCAAGAGCAGAGCAAACTACACCATAGCTCCCTTTTCCTATTACTTCTTCTATTTGATATCTGCTACCCTCACCATATTCGGTAAAGAAATCTACTTCACTCAAAGCCTGCATCAATAGGTAGAAGTATAAAATGGCATCAACTAAAGGAAGGGTTGGTACCAAGCATAAATAGATTGCAACAATTTCTCTAACAAACACAAACTAATCAAGGGTAAAATACTACAAAAACATGTAAACTTTATAAACAAACTCTAGGTATGCTCTACAATAACAAATGTAATATTTAAAAAATAAGTAGTGAGAAAGGTGTCGAAATGGTCCCCTGATTCTTTTTAGGGGTCATTTTAGTCCCAGAGTCTGTAGAAGTGTCAATTTAGTCCCCAAATCTTTTAAAGTAGGTTAAAATAGTCATCCTTGTGAGCTATATTAGATTATTAAAACAGCTAGAGAACTAATTTTAACACTTCTTTAGAGTGTGGGACTAAATTGACTCCAAATAAATAGCCAAGGGACTAATTTTGACACTTTACTCGATAAGTACAGTCAGGCAAACTTTGTAAGTGCCATTCATCTAAGTATTAAACGAAAATTAAGCAACAAAACAAGCACAAAAATGTAAGAAAAACCATAAGATAGAATAACAGTGTGATATAAGGCTGCAGTTTAATTTCAGCAAGAAAAATAGATATGGTCATTGAAATTTGTAGATTTCATGAAAACTGTTGCATGTGGAAGGCTTGCCCACTAGAAATAAACATGAAAGCAAACTAGACTTCCCTAACAGAGACATAAAACCTATTACAAAGATCCAACGGGAAATAATTTGGGTTAGGATATCCTGACCAAATTTTGGTCTTAATGGGCTGAGACATGTATATACATACCCAAATTCTTATGCATTTACACATCTAGCACTGAAACATTCATCTTTACATGCATACCATTAAATTTTTAACATCACATGAAAAATATCATCATCACTGTCTTTTTAAAAGTGGCATACACCCTTTAATGCATAAGTTTATGATAATAAGGTGTTATAAGTGTAAATATCAATATTGGGCTGTTAGATATGTAAACAAATAAGAATAATGTGGTATGTATGTAAATATTCTACCCATTTGATTTGCTTTGAGAAGAGTGCAATGCATGTCTAATGAATCAATTCCTATATTGCAATCATCTTAAAATAAATCCAATAGATAAAAAACAAAGCCCAACCAAATTTCGGTCAGGATATCCTAATACAAATTTTGTCCAATCCACCAACAAAACAAAAACTCCTCAAAGAACAAAGAGTAGAACAAGTTCATTTCATGGGATTTAGAGAATGAGAACTAGCGGTGGAGCACGACATGATAGCCTATTTTTAAAATTGTCGTTAATGCCGCAGTGTTGACCAAACTAGAATTGAAGACCATTACTAGCCTCAAAGTAAAGATTCCGCACGGGATCAGTCTGCAGAATAGATGCCAAAACAAAAGGCGACACATCAAAACCTATTTTCAAAAGAAAAAAGAAGGAATTCAAATCTAAGTAAAAGGAATAATACACCTGATCAGAAATATGACGCCATCGATCAGAAACAGTACTTCGTAAGATGGATCAGTTCAAACACTTAAAAATCAGAAGCCACATGCTAAAAATAGACGAATTCGGATAAAAAAACTAACAGCAAGCACAATCCCCACTCCAAATAACCCATCAAATAGGGAAAAACGCCCACAAACACCGACAATAACTATCACAAACTTGCAAGATTTCCAATGTAACTTTAAAAGATATAATGATATCTTCTTTTAAAAATAGCAAAAACAAAAAAAAACCTAGAAAAAGAGAGCAAAACCTTTCTCCTCTGATCTGCCTGCATCTCCAGAGAAGAACAACGCGAGAGACGAATTTAGGATTCGGTGAGAGTAAAAATAAAGCGAAATCTGCTAAATGGGCAGCTGGAACCAGTGGAAGAGAGAGGCTTCGAGGCAGATCTCTCTCTCTCTCTCTCTCTCTCTCTCTCTCTCTCTCTCTCTCTCTCTCTCTCTCTCTCTCTCTCTCTCTCTCTCTCTCTCTCTCTCTCTCTCTCTCTCTCTCGCTTTCTCTCTCTTTCTCCCCAGTTGAATTAATAGCAGTAAATTCTGCAATAAAAAATAATAGTAATTTTATCTTACATGAAAATAATAAAGAAACAACAATTTGGGGCTGAGGATAGGGATAGAGGTTGGGCTGTTAACTCGTTCTTAGCAAATAATTCGTGTTTAATTCGTTAAGAAGTTTGTATCGGCTCGTACGTTAAGTTAATAATTATATATATATATATATATTATTTACTTTATCGCTAAATTTCTTAATTTACCAAATTTACTTAATTTACCGTTACCTTCTCCGACAACGGCGCTAAAAACTTGATTACAAAATTATAGATGTGTAAACAAACATTAACATCTTATGGCTACGTGATTAGGATTGTCAAAACGATTATTTGTTCGTAAACAGCTCGTGTTCGGCTCGCTAAGCAAACTGGCCGAACACGGAAACACTAGCTCGAAATTCATGTTCGACTTGTTTACAACCCTTACATAGAGGTAGTAATTATTTGTGCTCTAAATTTGTCCGTATTTAAATTTATTTGTGAAATTTATATTCATGTTATGAACAAATTGTTCGAAATGAGTGTGAACGAATTGTTCATAATATTTTATTAAATTTAATAAATTAATTCACTACAATTAAATATCCAAAATTATTATTATTTATTATTTTAATTCCCTTCTGAAGGGAAGAAATTTACCACTGCACTGTAGCACACCAACAATGGCTACAGATGTGAAAGCTGATTTACATACATACCAATCCATTAATATGTATTTATATCTCCATCCGCAGGAACTTTCAAAGGTCAGGGATTAGACTTTCAAACGGCAACTACAATTTTCCATAGTCACTTACTCGCACATACAACCCTATTCTTATGTAACATGATATGGGTGGGAATTTTTCCATTTATAATATTTTTATTATTTATTTCTTTCGAACAAAATCTAATCAAACATAAACATAAATGAATACATATTTGTTTGTGTTCGATTTATTCATAAACTAAGCAAACAAATTTTATTCGTGTTTTGCTCAAATATTTAACGAATGAATCAAACACATGCTGCTTAACGAACTTAACACAAAGTGTTTGCAAACAATGAGTTTTCTTTATTACCTTAGATGGAGATAGATCTGAGCCATAAAATAAAAACTGGTGGCTGAAAAGTAATTGCAAGTGAAAGTTCCAATATGCCCTTTGAACAATGAGAAAACTACTAAACTTATTATTTCAAAGTGCCATTTGTTGAATGCCAACCAAACGTCTATCTTTTGTTTTTGAAAATCATCTTTCAATTATATGATTTGTAGGGGCCATTTGGAAAAGGGGGAGCAGTTGATTAAACCGTCCTGTGTGTTATCTCTCAAACTGCATCATTAAGTTGATTGTATTTTTCAAATACATACATACATACATACATATATATATATAAACGTCAAAATCTCAATGTAGCACACCAACATTGAAATGATTTCGTCTTTTTGAGTTCAATTTATCTTGACGTTTAAGATTTAGATTTATCTCGAGTTTATCATACAGTAGGAAACAATATCCTTGACCACTATGCCGCAGGTAAATGCATAAATTTCAAAATCAAATGTGTAACAACCTAGAGCGAGAGAGAGAGAGAGGGAGGGAGAGAGAGAGAGACGAGGAGGGGTGGGCAAAGATAAAAAGAGAATATAGATTATAATTGAAGGGATCAGAATTTTATGCATTCTTGATATGTTTCAAAAATATATTTCTGATAGTTTGCTGAGTGGAGAATATTACTCCACATTCCAAGTATTAAAACTTAAACCCCCTCCTAGTTGCATACTGGATTAGATTTTATATGTGAAATTTAATCTTTAACGCCTTTAACACTTTGCTCCAATATATATCCAAATATGGCATTATTTAATTTCCAAATTCATGCCAACAAAAAAAAAATGTTGGAGATTCAAAAGCTCAAATCATGCATTCATATAAACAAAAATATAAACTAATCCTTATCATTGAAAAAATATTACGTGCGGAGTGCGGACGTAAAGCTGTGTTTGCATGCCAATCATAACCTGTCACCTGTAAATCTCTATCCCACCAAAAAAAAAAACACACGAGTTTTTTTATAATGTGCAACTAGGCCTGAACCGGCCCGTTGCTTCGAAAATTAAACGTCTTGAATCATAACATTAGGATCATTCCATAGAAAACAAAATCGTTGCATCAGACACAATATTTCTTTCATTCGCCATATGTTAGGGTTTCTCATTGCCTTACTCATGTAGCTATGGTTCACATTGTCGTTCATCGATTGAGAAATATTCGAACTCCCTCTTTACAACAATGGAAGAGAAGAAGGAAACCGAAAAACCTAATTTGATGGAGCTGGAAGAGCCTAAGAAAATGGAAACTGAAGAGTCTAAGAAGATTGAAAAAAAAAGAGCGTAACAAGAATGAAGCTAAAGAGCCTAATAAGAAGAACACCAAAGAGCCTAAGAGTCATCAAACGTTATCCAGGTAATTTTGTTTATGGTTGTACATGCATTCAAAAGTCCATTGTATCTGAGAAAATCATTACATCGTATAGTATTTTCGTGCATTGCTCAAATTATCCACTGTAACACCAAAATAACACTAAAATCACACAATAATAACATCACAGTATCAGCTAAATAACACCACACAAACACCACAATAACACCAAGATAATACCAAAATAATAAAAAAATAACACAAAAATAATACCAAAATAATGTCATAACAGCACCAAAATTGCACATCAATAACATCATAGTACCGCACTAACACCACAATAACACCAAAAATTAATTTTGTTGGTATTTTGTTAATGTGTTGATTTTATGATATTTTTTTGTTTTATTCATGTTTTTGATGTATCGGATTGGTGTTCTGTAGATGTTGTCTATCTGTAGAGACGACCTTGATAAGGTCTACCATATCTGAGGAGGCTAGGAATAACTTGAAAGTATTGAATGTATATCAATTTTTTAATCTCCCTCCGTGTTCTCAAAATAATGTTCTGACACTGCACATATTGAAATGTTGGGATTATGAATGAATGCTATTCAGAATGGGCGAGAAAGAGCTAAGATTACTTCCGGATAAAGTTCCCTCTTGTGGTGTGGATGCCAAAAAAATAAAAATGACCAAGTGAAAGTTTCACTGGGGGAGTGTTCTACTCTCTTCGATGAATGGTTTTTGAAGTTTTTGTTCTCAAATTTATTCTTTCTTTTAGAAATTTCAGTGCCCAAAGAGTTTTACACCTTCGATGAGATGTATAGTTTTTATCCTCTAACTGTTATGCTGCGGTATGTGATTTCCTCATTGATCAAATTAATTTCGTAGCCATTAAAATAAGGCGGAACCAGCCATTGGGATATATCAATGATTTTTTTTTTTCTCCTAATGGTTAGTATCTCGTATATACCTTATAAAATTTTATTTTTCTGGTCAAAACATGTTATGACTTCTCATTTACACAGCTCTGGTTTTATGAACACATATCTTTAGTCATTCCTGTTGCACCTGAGTCATAATATGCTTCGAAAAAAAAAAAATTATAAGGTATATACAAGACAATAACCGTTTGGAGAGAAAAAAACTATTGATATATCTCAAAGGCTAGTTTTGCCTCATTTTAATGGCTACGGCATTAATTTGATCAATGAGGAAATCACATATTGCAGCAGGTCAATTAATGGAGAAAAAATACTGCACATTCTCACTAAAGATGTAAAGCTCTTATGACACACTAAAATTGCTGGAAGGGAAAAATAAATTTGATTAAAAAAACGTCAAAAATAATTCATCAAAAGGAGTAGAACACTCAATTCATCAAAAGAAATAGAACACTCCCTGGTTAAAACCTTCACTAGGTCATTCGTTATTTGTCTGGCATCCACACCACAAGAGGAAAATTTATTCCAATTTATTACTTCTCCGCCATTGGGAATACCTATCAACATGACAACTTTATCAGAAATTAATCCTAGCTCTTTCTCACCTATTGTAAATACCATTCATTCATAATCTCAACATTTCAATATGTACAATGTAAGTACATTATCATGAGGAAACGAAGGGAGCTAAAAAAATTGATATACATTCAATACTTTTAAGTTATTCCTGGTCTCCTCAGATATAGTAGGTATGACCTTATCAAAAATATCTTTTACTATGAATGAACGGCATCTATAATTGAAGGACATTAGGTTCATAAACCTAAAAAAAAAAGATAAATGCAAAAAAAAAAATGTTTTCTATAATTGTCTATAATAACACCAATTTGATACATCAAAAACATAAATACAACAACAAAATATCACAATATCAACACAATAACAGAATATCAACAAAATTAATTTTTTGTTTTATTGTGATATTAGTGTGGTATGTTTAACTGATACCATGGTGTTATTAAGATTCAATTTTTGTGTTATTATGGTATTATTTTGGTATTGATTTTTTATTATTTTAGTATTATTTTGGTGTTATTATAATGTTATAGAGCTTATACTATAGTGTTATTGTTGTGTGATTTCAGCGTTATTTTAGCGTTTCATTGGATAATTTGAACAATGCACAAAAATATTATACGATGCAATGCTTTTCTCGGTTACAACAGAGTCTTGAATGCAAGTACAACCATAAACAAAATTACTTGGATGATGTCTGATGACCCTTAGACTACTCTTTGGTCTCCTTCTTCTTAGGCTCTTTGACTTCCTTCTTCTTACGCTCCTTTTCAATTTTCTTAGGCTCCTCGGTTTTCACTTCTTATGCTCTTCCAACTCCATCAAATTAGGCTCTTTAGTTTATTTCTTCTTTTCCATTTTTGTAAAGATGGAGTTCAAATATATCTCGACCAGCGAACGATAGTGCGAGCCATAGCTATGCGTCAGGTAATGGGAGATCCTAACTCATGACAAATGACGAAGAAATATTGCGTCTAGTGGGACAAATTTATTTTTGATACAATGACCCTCACATTATGATTTAAGGAGTTTAATTTTAGTACCCTGGGATTTATGTATTGGTGGGGGTGGGTTCAGGACGCAAAGCTGCGTCGAGACTCCTCACGTCCTCTTCGCCGAAGAGACTCGAGCACATGAGCATGGAGATGCCTCGACCCTCGCCGCTAAACCTAACCCTCCGCATGCTGTTCGATGGCAGCCCCATACCCTTCATGCTCGTGCTTTGCTTAGCTTCCCTCAGCACTGACTTCGCCGTCACACTCGCCACCGCATCAGCCACGGCCGAACCAATCTTCCCGCCGCTCCCCAACTTCTCCGACAGCTATGCGAAGATGCTGCTAGCAGACACGGCCCTCTCGGCAGGCGACAAAACGGGCTGGTTCTGCTGGGCATTCTCCATGGCTTCTGCAGGCCAAAAAATGTGGAGACGGTCCTATCAGATAATGAAGAATGAATTAGCCATTGGAGTAAATAAAAGCTTACGGATCTTATATCATGTCGTTCGTGCGTTCATGAATCAAAGGTTGAGCTTTTGATGACAGCCAATTTTTAAAAGGATCTTACTTTGGATAAGATTGTGATATGAATAAGAGTTGATGCATGCCCGCACAACAGATTGTCCGGTAACATCATCAATGTTGAGCAACCCGCTGAAGCAGCTGCCAATATTTCTGCACACAAACTTAGCTGAAGTAGCTAAAATATGTTCTGGTGCCATTTGTTTTAACAAAGAAACATATATGTGAACCCTCTGCGATCTCACCTTTTCATCTTTGCCACTGCAGTAAATAATATTATAAAAAGGAGCTTTTTTATATATATAGTCAAAAGGAGTAAAGTATTAAAATAGTTTCTAACTATTTACATGGAGACATTTTAGTCTTAGAATCTATAAAAATGTCAAATTAATCAAATAGTCCCCAGGCCCAATTAAGAGAGTCTAATGACTAAATTTACACTTTTTATAGATTGAGGGACTAAAATGGATCCTTACAAAAAGTCAGCAGACCATTTTATCCCTTTTCTCTATCAAAAGAATTCCAAAACCCTATTTGAAGAAGAGTGGAAGATGATCACACAGCCATGCATGGCTTTATATGTGTGGTGAGATACCTTGATGAAAAAAGCTGAGAACCTTTTTCAGGAGCCTCACTTTGTCCAGAATGATCATTGCAACCATTAAGAAAAAATATAGCTTCTATAAAACTGTTATATGCAAGAAGCGGTGCTTGAACGGCATGAATAGATCAATCAGAAAAAAAAATGCTCTAGAAAGGTTAGCAAGGAAGTAGAGTGAACAGTCAATAGAGATCTGAACCTTTGGTAAAATATCACTCCTTATCTTTTCAGAGCAGATAAGGTGTCTCTATAAACCTCTTGGTAAAATAACACTCCCATGTTCTCTTCTGGTAAAACAAGCAAAGGCACCTTATCCTTTCAGAATCATCAACAAGGGACAACGGGAATCTCAGAAATAGAACACCTCTCCACTTCACGAGTGCGTATTCGGTTAGGACTCCTAATGTAGAGAGTCATTCGGAGGTCAATGACATGGTGACACGTGGCACGCAAGTCCCACAGTAAATTTCCTGAACAAAACTGCGGAGGTGGCCCGACCCGACCCAAACCCAAAAAGCATTACGAAAACATCTTTGCGCTAAAAAGGGGCGCGAAGAGTCGAAAAGCAGTATTTCGAGGCGAGCTTTCCCGCTTCAACCTTTACAGTTCGGTGTTAGGGTTTCCAGCGAGCGCGACATTGATCAAAGAGGATCGCCATTGTTCGAAGCAGAGAAGGAAAGGCATTTCGTCGTTCGACGTTCAAAGTTCAGATGTTTGATTTTTTCGAAAATGAATGGCAAGCAAACGGAAGAAAATAGGAGTGCTACAAAGTCATTGTGGTAATGTTCAGAGTTACAAGAAATAATTTTTTTTTGGAACTGAGTGATTTTATTGATGTGTTATCGACATGTTATTGCAGTGTTTCCCTTGTGTTATTACTGTGTTGGTCTTCCTTTTGTACTAGGTTGAATGATGTGTTGTTGAAGTGGTGTTCTCACCGAATAATTCACGTGTTATAACAGTGTTCTTAGGGTGTTACTGATGATATTGAATGTTCTCATATGTTTTTAAAGTCATTAATAATTGAATAGCACAGATGAATCCAAGTGGTGTTATGCTGGTGTTATTTAGTGTTTTGAAGTTGTATAAGTGTTGTATGGTTTTGATTTTGGATGTTACTGATGTATTTAATGTTGTCATATGTATTTAAACCCCTTAATAATTGAATAACACAGTTGTGTGTCAGTGATGTTATTTTGGTGTTATTGTATGTTATTCAGTCAAGTATATATTTTTTTTCTTTCAAGTCATGTTGTAAAGTTGTGTGTTATATAGCTATGTTCTATGGGTGTTATTAATGTCATTTTGTGGTACTGAATGACAAAGTGGTTTTTTGTTGACGTGTTATGCTTGTGTAATTAAATGTTTTTGAGTGGATAACACATATTTGTCTCTGCTGTGCTGTAATATAATTGTATATGTGTTGTATTGCTTCGATTTTGGGTGTTACTCAAGGCTTTCATGGTGTTATATGTGTGAAAACTCATTAATAACTGAATAATATTGTTGTATCTTACTGGTGTTATTCTAGTGTTATTGTGTGTTATTGAGTTACTAATGCATATATTCCCTTCATATGGTGTTTTAAAGTTGTATATGTAATGTATGCTTTCATTTCTTTTATATTATTAAATAACACAGTGGTTTTTGTTGAAGTGTTATGCTTGAGCAAGTAGATGTTATTGAGTGCATAACACTTATTTTTTGTTCATTGTTGTATTCTGCTCCTCTTATTGTAATTTCTTTCCTTTGTATGTTTATGAATGCAAGGACATTCAATTGCAGATATCGTACATCTGCAGTAAGGGGTGCTTTGGATAGTGTCTGACATCTCGTATCAGAGGATACAATGAATTCTTTAAAAGAAATGAATTTCTTCCACTTCTTTGATATGACTCCATATTCACAGGACAATGTGTTGACATTACACATAACAAGATGTTGGGATAATGAGAGTAGAGTGTTCAGAATGGGTGGGAAAGAAGTAAAATTGCACCTTGACCACTTGACGCTTATATTAGGTATGTCTAACAGAGGGGAGACAGTTGTGTGGAAGAAAACCCCTCGTCTGGTGTGGATGCCCGACAAATAAAGGACCAACTGACGAAGTTTTGTGAAGGAGGTTCGTTCATTCCCTTTGAGCGGTTATACTAAAGTTTTTACTAACGAATTTATTTTTTCCCTCGAGCAATTTTAGTGTGTCTGGGGGACTTCTTGTCTTTGCTGAAAATGTACAGTTGTTTTCTTCGTTTAATTAGTCTTTTATCATTTGTGAATTTATCATCGATCAAGTGAGCATCGTTACCACTAAATTAAAACAAAATCAGTCACTTAGATACATCCAGAGTTTTGTTTTTATTTTAACTGTAAGTATATGTTTTATACAAAAAATTAATATACATTCTGATGTTATTTGGAGATTTATTTTTTTTTACATTCCTCTTTCTGATATGACATATCATCAGCTATGATTTTATGAGCACACTTCTGTGTTTACTCCTCGTGTTCCAGAGGCTAGGCCTCGCATGCTAAGGTAACCAACAAATCATGGTTAGACAGCAGTAGAGATTCACGATGCCTTAAAAAAACTTGGTCATGCAAAGGTTAAATATTTAGTTTATTACACATTTTAATGTTTTATTTATTCATTATTTTCATTGATAGTATGAATTCATTATGCGCATTTTTAATGGTATTGTAGGTTAATGATTCATTCATTAATTTAAAAGAGGATGAGCAACATTTACTCTCCAACCCGGAAGGACTACCAAGCCCTGTCAAGATTGTCACACACCAAGAAACAATTGTCGGACCATCTTCACCATTATCCCACGGCGTCGAACCAATTGTTTCCAGCGAGATCACCTCGCAAGAGACATATCCAGCAAGCAATAAAGAATTTGGAATAATAATCGACCTACTGAAAGGTCAAGCAAAGTCTAATCTTGCATTACATGAAAGCATGAATATAATGACTCAACAGATGGCGTACGTGGATAAGTCATTATAGAACTTAATTGCTATGGTCGAAAGATTGCAGAGAACCAAACCAGATAAGAAAGTTGATGTACAGGAACCCACAAATCCTCTGCTCGAACTGTTAAGTCTACCCAGAGAATGAGGAGGGCAGTGGGTTCACCTGAGTTCAAATACAAATTAAAAAGAAGGAAGAAAAGAACTGATGTTGTTCAGGAACATCATTTGGGAGTTGTCCCAGACATTGATCTAAATGTGACGCTTCAGGAACATCATTGGGGAGCGGAAAGAATAATAGATGTCGAAGACAATGTATTGACAGGCAATGCGACGCTTCAGGAAGATCCTGAAGAGGTGAAACGATCATTGAAGGGTGTTCTAGAGTCGCTAGCCCAAATAGTAAACAACTATTTCTATTCACATCTGTATACTCTAATATGTCATGAGTTCTTATTTCATCAGAAAATATGACATTTTGCAGGCTCTTCACGCGTCGTCCCATGTAGATCCGTCCAACACTTCAGTTGTACATAGTCCTACTGCAGAGCATTCATTAGTAGAAGATGTGCATAGTCCTAGTGGAGAGCCACCAGCAGTAGAAGTTGTACGTAGTCCCAGTGGAGAGTTACCATCAGTTCCAGTTGTACGTAGTCCCAGTGGAAAGCTTCTGGTGAGATACTGTTGCACAAGGTTCATACTGATAAAAATGCAGCTGATTTGTTGATCAAGCCAATTATTATCAACAAATTTTTGCATTGCTTGGACTTGTTGAATGTTTGCAGTTGCTAGAGAAGCATGGCGGCCCAACCCACTTTCAGTATGTAAGAAACTCGATGATGTATTTCTCCTAAGGGGCTGGATATTCGCCAAAGTGGAGATTTGCTAGGTATGACTCATATACTATATAAGGGATAAATGCTGGAGCGAAGTGGAGCAGAACGGGAAAATCTGTCCAAATCGGGGTAGTTTCGTTATATGGGTTAGGGGTGCGAGGGAAACACCCCGCTGTACGGTACATGAATAATTTGGGAATTACATATTGTACTTTAGGGTTTTATCTAAGATTATATATAAGCATGTTTGTAACCCTAGGCTATTTTTGTTGGGAAAGGTGGAGCTGGTCCACTGAAATCAGGAAGAAATTAAAATGTTGATTTTTCTTTGTTTGGACTGCTCCTTCCAAATCTGAGATTAAGTAAAGTCGAAGCTTTCTTAAATTGATAATCCCGCATCTCTCTCCGCTGAACCGAGTGACCACGTGAAGATCTACACAAATATTCTCACGCGATCCTGCGTCGCGATGCTTGCCTTATGGGTCGAACGGGAAGCCTTTTAAAAGCATCGGCTGTCAGGGAGATAAAGAGACCTCTCTTTTGCTGAAGTGTGCAAAGGGAAAAGAAAGAAAAGCTAATTACTTTTCTTTTCCCTTCTTCGGGCTGAAAATAAACTTTGCGTTTGTTCTTTCCTCTTTCCTTCGGCTTGCAGGGAAACAAAAGTCAATTTTCTTTCCTTTTTTAATTCTTCTTTCACGTGGGCTGAGAAGAGAGAGGAGAAAGAGAAGAGAGAGAGAGAGAGAGAAGGTGAGGAGAGAGAAGGTAAGGGAGAGGAATGTAGAGAGAGATAATTCTTTCTTGTGAACGTCAAATCGACGACGGTGTAATTTCCTCGAATAAGTAAAATCCTC